CCATTTTTCTCGCTAAGTTAATGAGTTAATGAGTCCGCTCGAAAGAACGGGTCGATATATCACCGGCTCGTACGTACGTACGCGGCGTCAAGGGAATTTCTCGCACGAAAGTCACCGCTCGGGCCGCTGCTCGCGATCTTATCGTCCGGCGCAGTTACGCGCGCGCTCGCGTCCACGAGCGCGTGGATCATGCGGCCTGGCTAAAATATACCCGCGATTATGCCCGTTTATCGCCAATTAGGAGCAACGGACGGGACGATTCGGTCGCTATTACCCGTTCGCGCGAGCTAACGCGAGCTTCGAACAACATCGTTTACAGCTTCTAGATTACCTTATCGCGGGCAGGCGGGTGTTCGCGGGGCACTCGCAGATTTCACCCAATCCTCCTCGATTTATGTTACCGTGCACCCATAAACTGGATAACCTTCGATGCTGCTAATATTAACCATATGGTTATCTATGCTAAACGTCGAGATCCTGCTGGGATAGTGATTTACTTCGATTTCAATCCGATTTTCCGACAAATGATTTCCGACGACTGTCAAGAGATGTGAATTTTCAGTTAAAAGGTGTATCGGGCTTGTATTCTTCATCGAGAAGACGGATCGATGGAGACACGATTACCAGCGGATTCTTTTGTAAACGATTTCCAAGAGACACTCGTGGCCGGTCAAAGGACAGAGACCGGTGGAAAATCGGCTGGAGAGGGAAACTGGAGTGAGTGGAGAATGCGGCCGGGCACAGGTCGCGCAATTTGTATCGGCCTGGATGCGTTTTTAACGATCGCTTTGATGGATGATGGCCGCGCCTCGCTGGCACGTCGATCGAGTCCTTGAAAAATGATGCTCCAGATCGTTGTATACGCGTTCAGACACTCGAATCCACGACTCGTCACGCACACCCGTGCACCCTTGCGTGTGTACGAGCGCCCGTGCGAGCATATGGCAAGGGAGGACGGCAGCTTCTTTTCGGTTAATATGTTTTCGCGATCCACAAAGCGCCCGGTTGGGAGTCAAAGACAATTAATAACCTTCCGTAGGATCATTTATCGCGACAGTTTAGCCCTACGAAGGCGAACCCGCTTGGTTCTCCATCTCCCTCTATCCTCCATACGATCCTGAAGAACTGCGCGCTGACGGACCGACCAGAGCATTGTTCATCTCCTCGGCCCGTGACCGATCCAATTTTTAACACCGTCTACCTCTCCTCTCGATTTTCCTCAGCCACTCCAAGTTAATCGACGGCGACCAACCCTTGCCGCGTGTGAGAATCCTCTTCCGGGACACCGTGCCTGTGGAATTCGTTATGCCGAGAAACGGCGAGACTAGAGGGGACCAAACGCGTCCTTCCCAACGACAAGCTTCTACACAGATCTCGTATTCACCTTCGCGAAATATAGAAAGCTTCGGGGTGGTTCGCTCGACGGGAAGATGCCGATACGTCGAGTTGACAGTAAGTGGCAGGATCTAGCGCGAAACGCTTCCCCTAAGGAGACAGTTACGAACGGCTCGCTAAGAAAAAGAGCAAAGACGAATCACGAGCAGAAAGCGTAGAGAGGGAACGTGGAACACGCGAGATGACCCGTTAGTACCGTCCTCCTAGCGCACGCGTTAGAGCCCGTGCGTGACCAGCGAGACAGAATGGACGTTGGCTGAAAAATCGAATCATTCTTAGCGGCAATTGCCGCGTGCTTCCGAACGAACGTGGAAAAGGATAGGCATGCGAGTAATAAATCGTCCGACACGCGGTCGATAGAGCCTTTCCAGCCGGTCTCTGTCAATCTGCTTTACATACGGACAAATCGGCGCGGCCGAATAAACGTCCGCTCGTAAACCTCGATTTAATCGCGCGCCATCCGTTGATTTACGCCCGTCGATTTCGAGCAGGCATTTTATGCTCGCGCTTTTCCCGCCGCCGGAACGCTCCGCGCAATTTAATCTCCCTTTATTCGACGATTAAGCGCGCTGTCGTTGATTTACGGTATCGTAAACGCGAGACGCTAACGGCTACGGGGATATCGCGTTGAAAATGTCTCGGAAGCCTGGCGAGGTCTCGCGAGGAGCTTCGAAACCTTGTATACCTGGACCATGATCCATGTAACACGTGACACGAGAGGAAAACTCTGCACGACCATTTTCTTTCGCGGTGGAGAGAAATATCGAAGAGCCGGAACCAGAGGACCGCCTGCTTTCGCGTTGAAAATGTCTCGGAAGCCTGGCGAGGTCTCGCGAGGAGCTTCGAAACCTTGTATACCTGGACCATGATCCATATAACACGTGACACGAGACGAAAACTCTGCACGACCATTTTCTTTCGCGCTGGAGAGAAGATATCGAAGATCCGGAACCAGAGGCCCGCCTGCTTTCGCGTTGAATATGTTTCGGAAACGTGGCGAGGTCTCGCGAGGAGTTTCGAAGCCTAGTATACCTGGACCATGATCCATATAACACGTGACACGAGACGAAAACTCTGCACGACCATTTTCTTTCGCGATGCAGAGAAGATATCGAAGACCCGGAACCAGAGGCTCGCTTGCTTTTCAGCACGGATTGGCCGTCCGCGTGGAGAGATAAAGACGATAAAGAGGGTTGCCAGTGTTTACGGAAAATGCAAATGGAAGGAAGCAGCGAAGAGTGTGGTTCCCTGTAATTCGCGAATTATCGCGGATCGGACGGAGTGCATCGGTTCAGATTAGAAGACTAACGGGGCCCGTTGAATCCACTCCGTGTACCGTTAAACGCGTGTTCCAGGGGACCGTCTGTCGAGATAAGGTCTAACTGGAAAACGCGCCGTCCTCGTGAATGCATTTTTCCTCGGGTATCTTGAATATCGCGGCACGAGATCCTGACCAGGAGCGGAGATTCGACGTGACCGGGTCCGAGGTGTCCGGATTTGAAGGATCGCAGGACGCATCTGTGTTTCCTGCCACGGTGGGTACGGCAAAAACCTTGGACTCGAATGCGTTTGGCAGTTTTACGATTTCCAGCGTGGAAGGGTGAAACGGCGAAGGCGAAAAGGCGTTAAGTCAGACGACTACCCTAGCCACGAGGGTTGACATGCAAATGAGTGTCACCGATTCTTAGGCGGCTTATAAGATCGTGACCAAGGGATGGCGGACCGTTGATTGTACTCGGGAGAGGAAAGAAGCGTATCCCGAGGCTGGAATTAAGGCTAGATCGTCGCCGCGAGATCCACCGGCGTCGATGAAAGCTTAAAGCTATTATTTATATTCACGCTTTCACCCGATGAGACGGTCGTTTTCAAAGTTCACCGGCTGTACACCGAGCGTGCAGTTTTTTACCAACTTTCTCCTAAAAAACTAGCTGCGAGGCTGCGTAATCCGCGAAACTGTTGGATACGGAGCGAATCGTTCTTCTCTCTTCGCGAAATTCGCTTTTGTTCTCTTTTCTTGCACGCGAGACGACGCTCGCGAGTGAGAGATGGCGCGGGCATATTTTCAATGGCACTCCAGGCCTCTCCCGATGTACAAGTGGGTAATAACCGTATGAAAGGGCAACAATGGTGGCTGACACACCGCAACCGGGCGAAAAAAGAGAGAGGGCAGAAGGCACGGCGAGTGGAGGGGGGCAATAAATATATTTTGACATGGGAGACCCTGGACGGGCACCTATGCATAATAATTGTAACGCTCCAGTCGTCCCTGCGCTCTTTTTCTCTCTTCTTCCTTCTGTAACGTTGCACACGTGCGCGCGTATAGACGCTTCCGCGCCACTCTTGCTCGCCTTTGTTCAAAAGTCTCGCCCTTTGCCAGGCCCGAATTACGCCACTGTCTACCAGTAGGCAAATATTATAGCAACAGGCGGCCGCCGGGGGGGACGATAATGTTTTCATTTGCGACTAACCCTACGCGACCGCACCGTTTCGATAGCTGCCGAGGAAAGGGACAATCCGAGAGTCTCTGCACAAAGGGAACACGCGGAAAGTTTGCGGTTGATGATCTTGTTGCGTGGACAGGGTGCAAGACACGTCGTGAGAGATGGGTCCTTTCGTCTGCTTCGAGAGGCGCTCGCTTGTTCCGGTACCCTTTCGGGAATGACAAATGCGCGATTCCGTTGCCGCAGTGTCTCGAAGATCGAATAGAAGTACAGTCCAATCGGGGTTGTAAAATAATTTACAATTGGCAAAATTGGTACCGGAGACGAATAAATTTCGGATAAATTTCGCGATAAATGGCGCGACGACGCGTGTCAAGAGCAAAACTGGGAATAAAATAACGAAATTTTGTAATTACGGAGACGTTCATGTAGATGAGAGGAAAGCTCGCGATGCGCAAAGTTCGAAGCGAGTAGCGCAGTGGCGAATATCTTCGCTGGCCGCGATAAGAGCGCCAGAGCGAAGAGCGTAGAGCACGCGGTCTCACGGTTTCGCAATTATATTCCAATCAAAATTTACTAGTCAAAGGGGTATTTTTAGCGGCAGAGCGTACTTAGGCCGCTATTAGGTTGCATTATCAATTTCACGCCATGGTATAATCGCGAGCAACGCAGCCACTTTGGATGTAGACTTTAATTTACGAGGGATAAATGGAGCGGTGAATGGACTGTAAGATTGACGAAACGCCGGTGATTACTGGCTGAACGCGAGTGATTTATTTTCTAGTTTTTATAACTATCATTAGTCGGACCTTTTTTCCGCCCCCTCCCGTCGCGTCCGAGCCTATGGCTTCTCACCACGGAACCACGTTCTCGTTTCAGCGCACCACCTTCCGCGGTAAAGTCTCCGATCGACACGCGCGTTTATGTCGAGTAAAATTAGCCAAACTTTGATATCGAATGCTTCGAAACGCGATGGAGGAAAGGAAAAGAATGGAGGAAACGCGAAGGAGGGTAGAGCGACGAGTCGCGAGGGATAAATAAAGCGAGTAGGAAGAGCGGGAGACTGGAACGCCGGCACGCGAGAGCCGGAGACACGAACGCCCGCATAGGAAAGGCGATGATCGAACAGCGGGCTGTATGGTATACAGATAGAATTGCACTCACCTTGGCAGTCGGACGATATCCACAGGAGCGGGCCAACCGGTGTCTCAGTGCACCAACTGCACAAACCAACAAAAACCTTGCTGCCCGATTGTCCAAGTCCTCTTTCACACGTTGCACACCATAACCCTGGTTTACCGACAACCCGACAAGCTATCGCGAAATCGTTCGATCCCGATCGACACACACTGCCCGAAATATGCTGCAGTCCAGACCCGCGGTCGGTCGGTCGGTCACGTGGCGAGGTACACCGCACACTGTGCGCACGTTTGACGCTGAAGCGCGGCAGCCACGATCGCGAGTCCTTTTCACCACGCTGTCGCGACGTCACGCGATCGGTTTCAACCCCCTCGGTAGGACACGCGACCGACTCTCTCTCTGTACCGTTCCCCTCGATGCAAATCCTTCGACTGCCCCCGAGTACTCTGCTCTGGATGATCCACGCGAGTCCGAGCGTGGCTACCAGCTCTCTGCTCTGCACACCTCCTTCCCTCTGCCGATCTTCTCTCTCTGTCCCACCTTTCCTGCCCGTCCACGATCCGACGACTCTTTTTTTCTCTCTACGTGCCTCTTGTCTCTCTTTCTCTGTGTCTGTCTCTCTCGAACATCCACGAGTCACGGTGCGGCCACGTCGATGGACGGGAGAGGACTGGCGCTTCGCGATCGCTGCGACCTGTTCGACTGCATCGAAGGCGCCTAAGGAGAGCCACGGCGTACCGACGGGAACCGATTTTCCCCCCGTTGCCACAGACCACCTGTACCTGCCCATCGGTACACGCCTGTCCCCGGGCCCGCCAATAGGCCCGGACGGGCCCCGATCTCTCCGCCAATCCTATGCCTCTGGGTCCCTGGAGACCGTCTGTCCAGGTGCCACCCATCGGTTCCCCACTTCCCGCGATCGCTCGCTCCTCCACTCTCTGCTCGCCCAGGCTCGGACCGTTCCTCGTGTTCCGAGCCGGTGATGCCCCCGCAGAGAACCGATCGCCGCGGCGCGCCGGCTGCGTGCAGCGAGCAGCCTGCTCTAGCCCCGGCCTGGGAAACCACCAGCCAGAGCTTCCTTCTTTCTAGCCCGGCGTTAATGTCTTCCTTCCTTCTCTCCCGCGAGTAAAATCCTCCTGCTGCCTCGCGATTCTCCATTTCTTAAATCTTCCAAGGACTTCCGCTTTAATATAGGAATATTCGAATGATCCCGACACGGTAGGTCGAAGGTGGAGCTTAGCTTCGCAATTTTTACACACCGTTACGTAATTCACGCGTGCAGATATTTTCGCGCGCCCTCGTCCTCGCCCTCGGCCGCGCGAGTTTGCGTATCGTTTCTCCGATTTTTACCACGGAGCTCGTAAACATCCGCGATACGTAATCTCGATAAACGATTCTTATCCTACAGCGTAATATCCTTTCTAAAGTTTCAACCGTAACCGTTCCTGTAAACCCGGCGTGTATCTCTTCCCGAGAGATCTCAGGTCTCGCTCCAATAGAGGCAGGCCGGTCGCGCGCGCGCACTCGCTCGCGACGTGTATCTATACACAGAGCGAGACTCACCCATATAATTTAGTCCCCGGCCTGCAAGACGTAAGCGGCCGTAATCATAGCTATTACCCGCTCGCTGCTTCAATTAACGTACAGATCCGATAAACACAGCGAGAGCGGCGAGAGCGTTGCGGCGCGGACAGAGGCGCGGAATCGTTGATCTTGTCGCTTCCACCGGTGGCTGGGAACGAATCGACCTTGCGAAATCGGCCAGGGCAATTAGACGCAGCGCCCAATCGCAATGGCGGGCGAGAAGACCGAGTCGGGCTCGGGTCGCCCGTTCGCTGCGACTTGACAGGATCTAGGCAGGATCTAGGCTGGGTCTAGGTGTCGAGCCGGTTCGAATTTTTCCAGACGCCGCGCGACGGAATCCGACGAGTCGGAGAAACTGGTCGACCCAATAAAATGTCGAAAGGCGTTCAAAGGGGAGAGAGTAGGAGGGCAGGAAGGACGGGGTTGGACGGCGCCATAAATTAAAGAAGATGTCCACCCGTAGAAATTAAACCATAGAAACTGGTTTCGAACGTAAAACGATTCTCTCCTGCTCTCGATCCCTCGACCAGTCTCTCTTTCTCTCTCTCATCTTCGCCTCTCTGTCTCTCCCTTCGACCCCTCTACCCGCGCCTTGACCCTATGAATCCACCAGAGGCCGCTGCCTTTTTCTGCCCGTGTCTCTCCTCCTCGACCAGGACTCTCTCTCTCTCTCTCGCTTCCTCGTTTAACGACCGATTTCATTTTATCGAGATAATGCTGAAGGGAAGAAGAGGCGCGGCTACGAATCTGGGAAAGTCCGCTGTGTTCGACTCGGTCCTGCTTTACGACGCCTGATAGTCGATGAAGCGACGTCGGATCCGGTCCAATCCGATGGTCATAAGGATTGCGTCATGAGTTTCGATCCCAAGACACACCATTGCTTCTTCATCGTCCATCGAAAGTCGCGTTTTGGCTCGTAGCGCGCTAATCGCTGTCAAGAGTGACTTGGTTAAGTAGAAGAATATTTAAATCGTGATTCGCCGAGGATTTAGTCAAAAACAAATTGGTGCTTAATGGATTCGAATTATTTTGCAATATACTCGAGATTTGGGATATACCGAATATTCTTCGTTAATCAGCACGTCTCTGTCAGCGTCTCGCTTAATTCCCTAAACTGTGTCAATAACGCGAACTCGATTTCGCATCCTTCGAATTAATTATCGGAAGATTCGCACTGCCCAGAGGTGTTTCTACTACAACACACATGTTCTGAGGGAAAAGGAGGGAAATTTCGAAGAAGAGCGTTTTCCAGGGTCATAAATAATTTCTCCCGCCAATGACAGCGGACAGACTCGACGTGAAAGAGCTCGACGGTATGTCCGACGGTGTGTAGCAAACACGAGAGGCGCGGCGAGCTACGTCAGATTCGTGATCAATTGGCCGAAAATAATCCGGATGTATTTGCGCGTAAGTCCGTCGATCCTCGTCGTTTTGTCCGTCGTTGTCTCGTCCCTGTGTGCCTGCTCGCTCATGCAGAAGCCCTTCCCGAGCAGGCAGATGGGGCTAATATGAACTCGATTCTGCCCCCGAAGATATGAACTCATTCTTTCCAGAAGGTGTCTGCTCATCCGCACGGAAGGAAACGAGATTTATCGTGCTCTGTGAACGAGAGGAGAGCGGTCACCTCTTGTCGGGTGAAACGGTTCGTCGCGACACTCTGGGAGGACAGGGTCGCTCTGGTGTCATCGCTGAGACCTTTCTCTGACACGAGGAATTTTTTCTGACCTTCTCCGTGACGAATGACACGGACTACTGTAGTCATTAGGCCAAGCTAGGTACGTCGCTTTAAATTCCTTCTGGGTGTAAGAACGTTGGACGGAGCGAAAATGGAGTCAAAATGAATTCTCGTATTCTATATTTCTCGCGAATTCTATGTTATAGGATATTATAGCAATGACTTCTTAACACTTTGACTGCCACGTTGGTCATATATGACCGGCCATGGTTTATCCAGTGACGACACGATAGTCATTGGTGACCGAAGTGCTTGAATTGCTTACAATTGCAAAAATTGACAGTTAGTAGATTGTCAATCGTTTCCAAAGCGACTCCAGTGGTCACACGTGACTGTCAATAAGATAAACGCTTCATTGGGTAATACTTATGTGATTTTGGCATGGTAGTCAAAGGGTTAATCGTTATATGGAATATTATTATACGAATGCTCGTTCTTGACATCGCACCGTTTTTGTAGCCCACTGCATCGATCATAATTGATCATTTAACTTAATTTTAACGGAAAATTTCGTTCGATTCAGTGCTAGTTAGTTCAGTCCCAGAGAAGAAAGAGAGATATTGTTAGTAATAAACAGAGTTGTAATGCAATATGATGCAATAGATCATCGGTGTTGATATCTTTATCTCGTGACGACAACCAAAATTCTCAAAATTCGCTCTCAAATTGCAGGAAATTATGGGAAAGAAAGGGAAAACACTAAACTCGCTTTGTTTCGAACTAAAAGAATATCCGTTTGAGTGCCAAGCGGCCATTTTGCGCTTCTTCTAATTCGTTCGAAAAATGACAGTCGTGATAGGCACGATTTCTGACAATGCGCGATTTTACAGCTACTGTTCCGTTTTATGTAAATTAAAATAGAATTTGAGTAATATTACACTTTGTACGTGTAATTACACCTTTTTATTCTTATAAACAACTAATGTGACTACTTATGCTCAGAAGAATGTCAGAGTAACACTGAATTGAAAGAATTACAACTTATCGCATATGGCAGAAAACAGCGCAATAGCTGCTATCTAAATTCTATAGCAATTGTAGAATGATCAATAGACAGATCAATTATCGTTAGAGGTATTTATAATTACTAATACAGTACTGAGTGTAGCCTTCTAAACAGTACTACAGCCATCGGATTAATCAATTCACTGATGATTTGAATTCTATAGCAATTCTAGAATGATCAATTGATAGATTAATTATCGCCACAGATATTGACAGTTAACAATACAGTACTGAGTATAGCCTTCTAAACAGTGCTATAGCCATTGAATTAATCTATTCGCTGATTATCTAAACTCTACAGCAGTCCTAAAATTTTCAATGGATAGATCAATTATCGCTAGAGATTTTTACAATTGACAACACAGTACTGTTTATAGCCACCTACAAGGTACTATAGCCATTGCCATATTTTAATAGGCACTAAGGGTTAAATATCTACAACAACCTGCTTCCTAGCAAAGCCTTATAAAGGCACAAATAAAGACATACAGGTAGCCCTCGTACAACACGGCATTCTATAACACGATTCATAAATTGCGGGAACCCTCCTACAACACGGTCTCGCTCTAACACAATAAGAAAATTGCAAAAACCTTTGTGCAGCACTGTACTTCTACATGAGCAGTGACGACGAAGAAATTTATTAAATTAAAGTTGCGTTAAATTAAAATATTTTTGTATTTTTGTTTCGTTTTGTATTGTACGTACATTTATATTTTTAATAAATATTAAGTGGTTTATGTAGAATTAAAAAAAAATTTGTTTTTAGTAAATTTTCGGAACGTAACCCCCCTTTTTGTACTGCGTCTGGGTCTCATACAACACGGCATTTTCTGGGAACCTATCTACCGTGTTATAGGAGGGCTACCTGTATTAACAGAAAGACGAAGAGAATCGCTATCCCGCTTTTTTGACAAACACCAAAAGGGTCAAATCTGCAACAAGCTGCTTCCTGGCAAAGCCTCGTGAAGGCACAAATAAAGACATACTAACAGAAAGACGAAGAAAATGGCTATCACGGTCTCGCACGCGTCGCAGCGCGTATCCCGAAAGATTCCCGATGCACGAATCTCGACGCGAATCTCCGATCACGCCGCGATCAATCTCGCGGCGGCACGATCGAGCCGGATGATTACAATCCGTTGAAATTCAGGCTATCCGTGCCGCTGAATTATGACGTTCAAGTACGCTGCAGCAGAGCCCGAGTGGGATTGCCTACGGTATTCCCGAGATTTCAAGAACGCGGCGACGATTAACTGAATTCCGCGCGTTAGCTCGTGCTCGGTCGCGCGACGCTGAAAACTGGCACTCAATCTCATTAATC